GGATACTCGCGAAGACAGCTTTTTCGCCAAAGGCTTGGGTAGAAATTTGACGGCATCACTCAGCACCCTGAGGTTTATGAGAAAGGAAGGCCTCCAATTGGAGAAGATCTTCGACAACCCCGTCCCGTACTTGAGTCGCAAGGAATCGCGCGACGCAATCGAACGCCTGGAATCCCGAGCGCAGACACAAACGATTAAGGACCATCCGTACGACGAGGACGAGGAAGGCCTTAATTTTTTCAGCACGTACGTTTTTGACGAGATCACTTCATGGCTCGGCGACCGCTACGACGATGTAAGACCCACGGTTGAGTTCATGGGGATTATGGCTAATGCTTGTGGTCGTGCAGCGAAAGTCAGAGATCGAGATCCGGATCCCCTATTCGGATAGCAAGAAGAGAAGCAGTGTGTACCACAAGATCGTCCGAGTAACAGCTCAGAATCTGGTTCCGCACATGAAGTGCCGCACCTGGAACCATGGTCTTTCTGTGATTATTTCCCCAGAAGATTCCGACGAGAATCAAGAGGTACGATCCCCCAGAAACGTTGCGATTGTTGGTTGGCTCTGTTTTGCGCCCTACTAACAATGTCCAGAGGCAGCAAACGTTTCGAGATAACCTTTCCGCCTCAATCAGAAAGCAAACAGGTAGGTCTCATTGACAAGACAGCCGGCAGATGCTGACCATCCTAAGGTCTTCGCCTGATTATGGAGGCCCTTTCCGGAGGGCATTTTGCGGATATCATTAACCCGAGCTACATTATTGAGGCTTTATCATCCTGGCCTGGCGGCATGACGGTACAGAGCTTTTGTCAAGAGGTTCAACAGAAATTTGGAAACGCGCCGCTTTTGAGTCCGGAGCGAGAGTCCGGTGAGGACAGCGAGGGAGTGATGTCGACGACACCAGAGCAGGAATCCAGCTACTTCAGCGAAGAATCACCCAATAACATCGGAAACTCCCTGGAAGAAGCAAGAGGCCAACAATCCTGGCGACTGCCGGAATCATCGTCGGAGTGGATTACAAGTTTCCCGCAGACGCCTGTGAGTCCCAGCGGGTCTTAGGGAAATCCTGCCGGCTACTCTGAAGAGCGTCACAGCGAGGATGATATCTCGGAAGCAACGCTTTCCGATCAGATCCGGGCCGCCCTCTGGACACTCGAAACCAAGCTCCAGCTCCAGCGCCCACCAATTGTCGGTCACAACCAGTTCTTTGACCTGTTGTTCATTTACCAAACCTTCTTTGACGATCTCCCTGCTTCCTGCGGGGAATTCTTTGCCAACATCTACGAGTTGTTTCCCCACATAATCGATACCAAACTCATGGCAATCGCCGATCAGGCGATCGAAGGGGAAGATCCGCTGGCGGATATATTCGACAGATTCATTGGCGATGCTTGCAGGCCGTCTATTGGCTGGGATCCGGCCCATGGGTACAGTCGAAGGGCGAACGCCCATGAAGCAGGCTACGACAGTGCGTCGATACATTCCTACCTTCTACTTTGTAACTGACCTGGCAATAGGCTTCATGACTGCTGTTATTCTTCTGCGACTCGCACATAAACTTGCTCGAAGGACACTCGACAACGTCGACGAGGGTGAGAGCTGGGACAAGAAGATGCGTCGCTTGTACGACAAAGGCTGGCTACTAGAGATCGGACGTGACCCCGAATGCTTTGGATCAGACTCAGGATCGGACTTTGAGAAATCGACGGCATCCTCAGACGGCGATGACGAAGAAGTCGGAGAGCTCTACTGGGGTCATTCTGTGTTCGACATGTTCCGCAACACTCTGCGGATCGGCCCCTCCACCAATGTTTTTCTGGAGAGACAGTGGGCAGCCGATCGAGCCTTTCGCCAGGTTCCGCGTCCGAAGTCAGACACGGAAGGATGCAGTATTAGTTCTTGAGACGCGTTAAGTGGAGGAGACGCGTTGTGAGTCGATATATGGCGATGGGCTGTGTAATAGACTGAATTGGTGATGGATGATCCTTGGCTTTCGAGTGACCCCGCCAGGCTGTCGTACCTTACATTTGGCCAATTTGTTTCCTAGAAATGGCTTTCACAAGAATGATCCTTTCTCATCGGCCATTGACCTTCTTCCACGTTTCTGACTTTTTTGATCACTTTTGCTCAGCTCAGGGGCGGCAGAGGGGTAGAGGACGATTCGGTTGTTCGAACCCGCCGGCCTCGGGATAATCTGGGGAAACAGGGGCACGCGAACTCTAAGTTTGCACGCGTTTGAATGGCATCTGATGGGTCAATTAAAACACAGAGTAATAATAGTTCACTCAAGAAGGCGATGCCGTGGAGGGGGAATCCCAAGTTGGAGGGCAAGATCACGAAGATTTGAAATGACAGGCGGCGGCAGCATGAGACGATCGCTGGAAACGGCTGTTGATCTCCGCGAGTTGAGATGAAGCTCGGCCGGTCGTCGAGGGCAACCCCTGTTTTCTCCGTCTGGGCCTGCGCTCTTCCCCGATCAGGAAGCTACGCCCAATGAGAAGAACGGACGCCGAAGGAAGCCCGCGTGGTCGTGGAGGCTAGAGGGGTACTTCACATGCGACGCATCCGGTGCGACGTCACTGGGGCGTGCTGCACCAAGACCATGTACTCGCTTATCTCTGTGTTTTTCTGGCTACAGCGAACGACTCGATGTTTCTGGCGGTCAGCTGCCCAGGAACGCCAGGCCGGCGGGCACACACTCAGGCACTTTGCATGCACTCTGCAGGAGAGCCGGGATGAGCCCACCACACTCGCAGCGAGACACCGCCGCAGAACAAACCGAGGCTAAAGTCTGGCCACGGCCGAAAAGTGTAACCGTGCCTGCGCAGCTGCGGCGGGTGATTGGCCCAGGGCACTCCATTCCTCCTCAGTCAGAAGACTGCCCCAGCTCCATTCTCCATTCTCCAGCAGAACAGCAACCAGCAACCCAGCACCACCACCGAGCACCGGCAATCCGAATCTAACCACGACCACATGTCGCGGCTCTCATCACTACCCGCTGGTGGCATTTGAGCAGGAACGCGTATGATGGCCGCCATTCTCCGCACGCCGGATACATAACAAACCCCGTTCTTTTTCTTGGTCCTCCCCTCGTCAATTTCCCTCCCGTCTGGGGCACGTCAATGCCGACAGATTGAATCCGACGCCGCCCTGCCTGTTGCTGCTGTCCATCCTCTAAATGCCATTGCCCGCCAACATGTCGTCCCTCAACGGCTCCTACACGGCGACTCTGAGTCCCACGCTCGCCTCGTCCGAAACCGCATCCGCATTCCCTCCGCACATGCTCTCGAGCTCCATCTCCTCGCTATCCTCATCAACGTCTTCGCGCCACACCTCGCAGATCTCAAAGACTTACCGCCAGGCCTCGACCCTCTTCCTCACGCGTCGCCTGCCCGAGGCCCTATCCACCATCTTGCCATTGATCACACCGACACCGGGACAGTCGGACGGCGCCCCAACAGAGCCCGCGCCCGTCGTGAGGGCGTCTCGATCCACGAGAATCAAGGTCTGGAGCTTGTACCTGACGACGCTCAACGCCATCGTCGAGCTGGAGCCGGACGAGGGAAAGGATGCGTTTGGAAGCCAAGAGTGGCGCTCGCTGTGCACCAAGGTCAGGGACGGAGAAGTGTGGGAGGAGGTCGTCCGCAACGGATACCACGGCGTCGAGAGCGACGTCGATTCCGACGTCGTCATAAACCTGTAAGCAAAATTGTTTATTTGGGTGTCGCCTGATGCTGGATATCATGTGCTAACCGGGTCCCTAGCGCCACGCTGCTCTTAGCTCACGCCCGGACGCAGGAATTGAACCAAAAGAGGCTGGAGAGCTATCTCGCTGCCTCAACCTCACCAAATCTGGATCTCTCGCAGAGATTTTCCGACACGCCGTCGCCGTCCCCGCGGCTGAATCACCGGCACAGGTCGCCGGCGAAGGGGACGAGCGGCGCTGACACGCCGAGAGACCTTAATGCGAGGGTAAAGATCCTCGAGCTGTACACGCTGCATGTTTTGTTGCGTAATAATGAGTGGGATTATGCCCGAGAATTCATCAGCGTCAGCTCCGTATTAGACGACGAACGCCGCGAGGCGTTCCTACAAGCACTGCAAAGCTTGCAGGAAGAACAGCAAGAAGCAGAAAGGCGCGCAGCCGAAGACAGACGCCAACAGGAAGAGCAACTAAGGCGCGATATTGAGGAGGCCAAGAAACTGAGAGCTGAAAATGAAGAGAGGGAACGCAGGCGATTAGAAGAAGAACAAGCCAGGCGAGAGGGCACCGAGGTGGACTATGGCATCGAAAGGACACCGAGCAGGGCGGGCTCTAGCAAAGCAGGGTCGAGCAAGGGGCGACATGCCAGAGTCGTCTCAAACGCTTCAGGGTCAAATTCAAACCCAAAGATGCCTGTATCACGGGCAAAGGGCAAGTCACCAGCCAACCCGACGTTTGGAAGCAGGGCATCTATGGTCGTGTCTCGGCTGAAGGAGCTCATTGACCAGCTAGGGGCGTCGTTCAAGACGAACCCGATGCTGCTGATGCGGCTCGTGGCTTTTATTTTGGGTTTGGTCGTCATGTTTGGACAGAAGAATGTCCGAGAGCGGATACAGCGCGTGCTTGGTAATGGTTGGAACAAAGTAAAGGCGACAGCGGGAATGGGAGTCAAGGTTAGCTACATATGATTACGACGGACACCGGCTAGCTTTGGCTTTCACTGTACTATAAGTATGAATCTGGATGAACGGCCGTAATTGTTGTGGCCTTGGATATTTGTTTGGTTCAAAAATGAGAGCATTTCAACAAGTTGGCAACTGGCTGTTCCATCAAGCAAAGTGGGATATCATTCTTTTCGATCTAAATGGTGAAACCCTCGTGCGTTGTCTCTGATAATTGACGCCCAAACGCCATGTACACAATGCCATACCCATGTGTCGCAAAATTTTCTTGTTCGTATCCATGCTGCCTCAAGCCGAAAACATAACCGGTGCCCAGACCCGGGCGACGTAGGGACTAGTACGTCGCCGTGCGATTCGTTTTCTTCTGGTAGAACAGGTCGGTTCGCGAGCTTCCGAGGTTGATAATCTTGGGGCAGCCGTCGCGGTCCTTCTCGAGCCGCGTGCACTCGAAGCAGTAGAAGGCGTCCGAGATGCCCTCACCGCCGCAGACGACGCACTTGTTTTGGTAGTTGCCGAAGGAGCACTCGTCGCAGATGCGGACGAGAGTCGTGGGGCGGACGTAGGAGTCGCAGACGGGACACTTGCCGTCGCACTTGTCGCAGAGGCGGCCGATGGCGATGCCGGCCTGCTTGCGGCACATGACGAGATCGCTGGAGGAGAACGGTCAGTACGCGGTTTGGTGGTTTGGGGCGTGAACTGGACTTACGGATGATGACGCGACATGGTGGGCGATTATGCGCAAAAGGTCGCCAGATGTGCTGAGGTTGAAAGTCGCGGGAGTTGAGAAGCGACTGTGATGTGGATCGCAAAGTTGCGATACGTTTGCAATGATGGCGACGAAGAGGTAGTCAACACTATTCAGCCTCGCCACCTCTTCTCGACGTTTCTCCCGCGGTAATTGGTACGGCCGCCGTCTGATCCGTACCGAAGTGGGGTCATTTGCGGGGCGCCCTCTTCTGAGTGGCCAACCCCGCTGACAAACCTCAGCCTTGGAGCTTCACGAAGGAGCTTTTGAGCTTCAATAGGTACCACGGCGAAGTCGCATTGAACATCACCCGGCCGGGACGATACCGAATTTTATTTTACGTATTGCAGCATCGTCGCAAACAGTTTAAAAGGCTCCGGAGTCTGCGCGACGTCGATAATGGCGACCCTTACGGAGTACGTCTTCTCAACACTTTTTTTGGAAAAAACAGCGAGCTGACATGCATGCCAGGGCACCACCCGCCGACGCCATCGATCCCGAGCCGGTCAGCCCCGAAGCCGACGTTTCCCAGAAACGCAAAGCTGCATCGATATCTGAGGAGCCGGAAGAGACGTCGAAAAGGCCGAGAATCGAGGATGACGACCATCGCGACCGGCGCGCGCAAGAGCCCAGAGCTTCGCCAACAGCCGTGAGGTCGCGCGATGCGGACGCAGGCGGCAGCGCCGCCCGTCGGGGCAATCTGTCAAAAGAGGAGGAGAAGAAGCGAGGAAAGAGACTGTTTGGCGGTTTGCTGAGCACGCTCAGTCAGACCAACACCAGCTCCCAGCACAAGAAGCGCAGGGAGGTCGAGCAGCGACAGCAGGAGAGAGCGCAGAAACAAAGGGCGGAAGACGACAGGAGGCGGGCAGAGAAGGTTGCCAGGATCACCGAGGTGCGATGGCAAGAGCAGATCAAGTTTGATGAGAAAGTCGTGCGTGGACAGTTCCTCCCATGCGAGCATGCGCCCCGGTTTCGCTGATTACCCCCTCACAGATGAAGACGCGGCACTCCAACATGCTTGCAATGGCGCATTCGCTGCGGACAAAGACACAGCCTCAAATCGTATGTTTTCCGTCGGTACTCGTAGGTATCATGCTGACTGATGATGTAGTTCTTCCGGCCATGGAAGCTCACCAGGGAGCAAGAAGACGAGATAGACGATCAGATACAAGACGCCAAGGCGACCATCGCTAGAGAGGTCGAGGTTTTCAACGAGCGAAGAGAAGAGCACGAGCGGCGCTACGGTCGGAGCAGGCCGCCCACGAGACAAGAGCAGTCTGCGCCGGTGACTGCTGAAGCTTCGACAGATGCAACCTCCGCCCCAGAAGCTCCACCAGCCGAAGCTTTAAAAGCCGACACTAACACATTGTCGCACGACACTGAGAGACACGACCGAGAGCCGCACGATGAGTCTGGCGATGTTGTCGAGGACGCCGAGGAGGATATGGTCATATACTAATGAAGGGAGCCGAATGTTCTGTTGCGGCTCTCGAATATTCTTTTCAAACCTCGTATGAGGTTACGCTTTTTATCGTTTTATCAAAAACGATTGGCGCCGGTGGACGGGAAGCGCTTTTTCTATTTCATGAGGGGCAAAAAGATTGAACGTCGGGTCACGATATACCAATTGGAGTTCAGAGCGGCATTGACTTAAAGATATCCACGACCCCCCGGAGATATGCAATACGAAAATCAAGGAACTGCAAGACATCAATTCATGGAGCGATCGAGGCAATGAGCTGACTCGGCGTCGGCCGAGTGACGTGTGATGCGCGATGCCGCCTCGGCTAGTGGGGACCCGTCACCTTTAGCAGCCGTTTGTGCCGTTGAAGAATCGGCGACTACCTCTAGATGCAGGCGGCAGATTTACAGTTTTCCGATCTGCAAGCTGCCGACGTCCTCGGAATCCGATGCTTTGTTTCTGTTGGGATGACACAATGGTGGTGTCTGGTTTCGAACCAACGATGCAGGGAGCTGCTCCAACTCCCGGCGCGAGAGCGTTCGGTGCATGTCTCTGAGCCTCTGAGGTGGTTCCTGGGCGCTGGGCCGAGGCATCGCTGCAACGCGGACGGAGGCGCTAGGACGATTCCATCTAGGGACTCCGATGGCAGACATGCGAGAGCCCCGCGCGGGTGGGGTTCCCGGCCACGCCGGTCGCCAACGCAATGCGGCCCTCTGGTCTTCAGTGGCCGCGGCCGCCCACGGACCCCACGTCACGTCCTTGTCACTCGAAAGCTTGCCCCTCTTTCTCTGCTCGTCTGGCGCTGCCATCCCGCTCTTCTGTTACAGCTTGCGGGAAGCTTTTTGGGGAGCGTCGTTCGAGCTACCTTAGGCCGAGGCTCACTTGCACACCGCTCGTACGTTTTGGGTGATTCTACCCAGTTTACGTGGTGCAACACGCCTATTTTTAAATGACTCGGGCTTGACGACTCAACTCTTATAACAGAGGATTTCGGGCGGCGTAGATCCCGCAACTGGCTCCGGCATCCTGCATACCCAATATCGGACTCGGATTCGTTGCTTCTCACCTCATTCCCCGCACCGGCACGGGATTCACCTTTCGGAGTAACGGCCGCTTTCTGGACTAGGGCTTCCTGCTTGGCCGACGTAACAAAGCCAACCTGTATATAAGGGACGAACGCCTGCTGCCCTCGACAAGAGCCTCACCAATGTCGTCTCTATCACTCGACCCAGACCACCACCTCACCTTCAACATGGCTGTCGACAAGATCGCGCCCAACGACCCCCGCATCGAGCGGAAGCAGGCCGAGGTCAGGGGCAAGACCTACTCCTACCTCTACGGCAAGCCTGAGGGCACCCGCAAGGGCACCGTCGTGCTCATCCACGGCTTCCCCGACATCTCCCTCGGCTGGCGCTACCAGATCCCCTTCTTCCTCTCCCAGGGCTACCAGGTCGTCGCCCCGGACTGCCTGGGCTACGGCCAGACCGCGTCCCCGGAGAAGCTCGAGGAGTTCTCCCTCAAGAGCATGGCGGACGACGTCAAGGCGCTCTCGGAGCACGTCGCGGGGCCCGGCGAGCAGATCATCCTCGGCGGCCACGACTGGGGCGGTGCCCTCGTCTGGCGCGTCGCCCTTTGGCACCCGTCGCTCATCAAGGGCGTCTTCAGCGTCTGCACGCCGTACAACTCGCCCACGACGTACTGGTTCGACCTCGCCGACCTCATCGCCGCGGGCAAGTTCCACAACTTCAAGTACCAGCTGCAGCTGCGCGGCCCGGACGTCGAGGCCAAGGTCAAGACGCCCGAGGACATCCGCCAGTTCCTGCAGGGCATCTACGGCGGCCGCGGCCCCAACCGCGAGCTCGTCTTCACGACGGAGCAGGGCGTCGTGTTCGAGAACCTCGGCAAGATGGGCCCCACGCCGCTGCTGAGCGAGGACGAGATCGCCTACTACGCCGAGCAGTTCTCCCACAGCGGGCTCCGCGGGCCGCTCAACTGGTACCGCACGCGCAAGATCAACTACGAGGAGGAGCTGCCGCTGGCGGAGAAGGCGGAGAAGGAGGGGGCCGCGATCAAGATCCAGCCGGCGAGTCTGTTCATCCTGGCGAACAAGGACGCGGCGCTGCCGGCGTCGATGGCGGCGGGCATGGACCAGCACTTTGTGGACCTGACGAGGGGCGAGGTGACGGCGACGCACTGGGCGCTGTGGGAGGCGCCTGAGGAGGTGAACAAGCAGATCAAGGAGTGGTTGGATACCAAGGTCAACAAGCCAACGGCAAACTTGTGAGTTTTGAATTTGATTTAATGGATTGGAAGAGCATGGCATTAACGATGTGGGCAAAAAAGGCAGGAGTAATTTTGTAGTCGGGAATGACTAGAAACGATGAATATGATGTTTTTTTGTCAAGCATTGCTTGCTCTCTCTAAGCTTGTGAGGTTTGCCTATATGGCATGTCTGCGCTTACACGTGCGAATGGTCATCCTATTGCGACCATGCGGTGCGACGTGACCTTCGACTGGTTTGACCAACCTCAGCTTCAACGGGCCAAGCTATCCGCGCATATCCCTTATCAGCCGCGCACTCGCGTCCGTCGTCTCTTGCTTGATCGAATCGGCGTTTACTTGTTTCCGAGCAGATTCTGATCCAATTGTGATGCACCGCTTGCACGCAACTGCTCCGGAGCACCTCGTATCTACCGTCATTTATGTATCGGCTAGAAGCGTACGATAATCCTCATCGACATCGGCGCAACGTCCTCTTCTATCGTGTGTTATCTGAATGCCCTGATGTCCTTCACTTCAATGTGAACTTCTGCCCCGCAACAGCAGGCGCGGCGGTCTTCTTCTTGTTGGGCTTGCCGCATGAGGCGCAGGAGTCGGCGCGGTAGGCGCACGACTGGCAGAGGGCGTGGCCCTGGGAGACCTTTGTCTTGCACTTGGAGCACGCGCTCGAGTACTGGGCGTAGGGGTTCTTGGCGGCCTTGGAGAGCAGCTTGCTCTTACCGATGCCGGTGCTGCCCAGGGTCGCTTTCGAGGAGGACGCGGAGGATGTGGCGGAGCCGTGGTAGATTTCGCTCTTCTTCTTGACGGAGGGCGTCGCGAGGGTTGTACCGCCCTTGCCGAGCTTCTGGCACTTTGCGCAGACCATGGTGTGGTTGATGGATTGGTAGCTGGAGATGAACGTTGGGATGGGAGTGAGGGGTGGTTGGTGACAGTCGTGATGGTGAAGACGATGACCGAGGAACCGACTATCGATAAGATAACGGTTGACGAAGGTAGCGCCACTAGCGGGCTATATTACCTAAGACATGGCTCGGGTGGCTGGAAAGCTAGACTGCGAAGTGACGCAACATCACAGGCTTCCGCGTTTAGAGTGCAGAGCGGCGCCGTGTTCTGCTGAAGTCTTTGGTGCAGAGGATGGGCCGGGACCAGACCAGAGGGCGGAGCTAGCGCCCTACCGAAGCTGGGATTCGCAAACGACACCTGTCGGGATCGTGGATTAGCGCAGGTAGCCACAAT